GGGAGCTGGGGCCGGAGCTGGGGCCATTTTTGGTGGAGGCGCCGGTCCTACTGCTTTCTGTCGGGCAAAAAGCGGTCCTGCAATTAGATTTGCGGGCACTGCAGCTGTAAGGACTGTCACTGGGGGCCGCACCATTGACGGCCTTTTGTGCACGTCATAACCGAAAAGGTCTCCGATGTTTGAAAGCCATGAGCCTATCGTTCTCTTTCCACGTTCACTCGATTCACTAGTTTCACTATTAACAGTCACTAGGAATAGGAGTACACAACAGATTAGTTGATTTATGAGCATTGTGCCATGCTCTTATGACAGATGTTATTTGCTAAAATGCATAAATCGTACTAAGACTTGGGTTCTAAAACAATTTCACTTGTCACAATCGATTTATTAGAGAGAAAGGGTTTTTTTTTTCTTCTTTGACATTATTGCTCGCTGTATTGTTGCGTTTTTCGCGAAAGTCTCTATTATTACATAAAATTGTTACTTGATTGAATGGGACCTGCATGCATCAATGAACATTTGTACTGCGCGCTGTCAAATCTCTAGACCACAAATGTTCCATAAAATTAGATATAACAATGGCTAGATTACCATAATAACAGGTTCGGTAATAAAGGCTACTTTCAGTGGTCTCCTTCCAAATATGTCATTTAGTCACGTCGGTGGACATGTAAGCAGTTACATTCTTATTGTTTTCCCTTTCTGTAAACGGTCATTATCATATCACATCATGAATATTTCAATTCGAATTAAAAAATGAAACTGATTCTTGTTCTAGTTCCGCCTATTTCTTAACAAGTTAAGAATGACCGACATTGCTGGGACTCAGCTCATACGTGCTGTGCATTCTGTCAGCAAAGAAAGTTTAGCACATTCTTGTAGCGTTTGTTGTTGACAAGTTTCCAACTCTGAAACACCGAAAAAAGGGCCCGAAACTAAATTTTACCTCATTTCAATAAAAGATCGCTTTGCATACATAGAGAAAGTATAAAGCAATGTTTTATCGTTTTTACGGTCAAACGACAAATGCATGTTTTATAAAACAACAAAAATTGATAGTGTAACAATTACATAACGACCTAAACTGTGGTAAAACGCTAAAAATTATTCCAATGCAATGCTAAAACAACTTTCGCTAATAGTAATTACTCTGATCAGTCTACTACTATTATTTCAAATCCCAACGTGGGTCGTTTTTATTTACTCGCGGATTTTATTATTTATACCATAATTAATATAATTGCGGGGTATTTAAAAAATATGACGAATACCATTTTAAATGTCACTCGTTTCAGTACTAAGACTTAATAAATCACAGTTTTAATTTAAAATGATTTATTATGGCACCCATTTCTCGTGTTACTTTAAAACCGCCATAAAGAACAATAAAGTGTTGATTTTTATTTGACTTAGAAAGGATTGTTAAATTGTCTAGAAATTTTATTTAAGGAAGTACATTTAATGTCACTCTAATAATTTCACCAGGATAATTGAATTTTTTATTCTTATTAAATATGAAAGGCGTTGAATATTGCTCCACTGTAACCTGAAGCCAAACACAATATTTTTTGATAGTCGTTTAACACACTTAATCCTTTCTGATTTACTTTTTATTGCTTCTTTTGTTGTATAAAAAATTGGATTTGTAATCGCAGACAGGTAGACGGGTGTTTCGGTCAACGATCTAAATAAATTCAAGTATTGGTTTCAAGTTTTCTATGTCGTTTCCTTGAAATTTAAATAAAAACAAAATCTGTCAGTAAATTGCACAAAATGAGCAAAAGAAAAGGTGTCACTAATTACAATTGCAAACTCATAGCAGCAATTAAATCAAAGAAATGCATCTCAAATTGGTAAGTACTTTCTTCGACACTGACATTTATTAATATTAAACAAGGCACAACTATTTAACATACAACCCTCGTCCGTTAGAAATTGTTTGTATAAAAACAAAAAGAAAGTGACTGTTTCGTTTTTGTTATTGTTAAACTGTTGTGTGATGACGTTGGTTTAGTTCTTTTATTTTTTAGTATCGTGTGTTGTAAGTGCAAGAATGAACATGAGGATGTTTATGGTACGTCTTGTTTAAACTATTACTCAGCACGAAAGACTAATTGATTTGTTAAAAAGACTGAAAAATTAATTTGTTTCAAGCACAATCAATTTTGCAATACGCGGTAGAACTATAAAATTTGATTCATTCCAGACATGTGTTGTGCTAATTGTCTTTTTTGCCAACACTGTAACGGCCGAAGCTGATTTACAAGAACAAAACGAAAACCAATATATAAATCCAGTCAACGATTACGAACATGAGCATCCGACAAAAGATCAAGATAAAAGAACCATTTTTCCGAGTCACCATGGATGGGCAAAACACGTCGGTATTCACCCATCTGGGTTTAAATACGTCATCGGTTATGGACCCGTTGACTTGAAATACGTCCCGGTGGTCAAACCTGTCAGTATTAAAGTCCATCCTCACCACCATCACCATCATCACAAAGTTCATATAAAACGTCCTGTGGTACTTAGACCACTGCTTCCTGTACGACCTGTGATTCACCAAACCGGTTGGAAACCGGCCGTTCCTGTGCATGTTAAACCTGTTCATCACGTTAAACCCGTACACGTTAAACCTGTTCATGTTCACCACGACCACGTTAAACCTGTTCATGTTCACCACGACCATGTTAAACCTGCTCATGTTCACCACGACCATGTTAAACCTGTTCATGTTCATCCTGTGCATGTTCATCACGATCATGTAAAACCTGTTCATGTTCATCCAGTTCATGTTCCGGTTAAACCAGTAGTTCCGATAGTACCATCAAAACCTTTGATTCCTGTTGCACAACCCGTACCCTGGGTTCCAGTTGCTCCCGCTGTCAAACCTTTACATCCGGTTCCGGTGGTACCACCCTCTGTTTTTCCTATAATTCCCACGGGTCCTGGAGGAGTACCATTATACAATCCTGCCATAATTGGACAATACGCACCTGGGGCTTTTGTGCACCACCACCATCAAGTTTTTGTCCCTCAATCGGTGGTACCAGTACATGCACACCCTGCACATATTCACCCCCAACTACCGCACATACACCCTCATGAACAACACGGTGGAGTACCAATCCATGCATACCCTGCACATATTCACCCCCAACCACCGCACATACACCATTTAGTACAACATGAGCAACATGCCGGGGTACCAATCCACACACATCCTGCACATATTCACCCCCAAGTGCCCCATGAACAACACGACGTACAAACTCCTTTACTTCCCAACGACCATCCCATTTTCCACCAACATCCCCAAATTTTACCCCATGCCCATATCCCTGAATTTTTCCGTCAGCACGTTCCTGTCCAACATTTACACCCAGAACAACATCCTGAAGTTTTCCACCAACCGGAAGTTCCGGTTCAAAATCCTGCCATTTTTCAACAACAGTTACCCCATGATCCCAACTCTGTATATCATCGCCACCCTGATCCACCATTACCACAACATGCCCCAACCCTATTCAACCAACAAATAAACGGGGACGTGCAGCACCATTTTAGTCAAAATATTCAACATGGGGATTCTGCTACTTCCAGTATTATTTTGCAAGGGGCGATTCAACCGGGACACACAGACGTCCAAATTCCTTTACATTTGCCCCATCATCCCAATTATGTGCCGGATGAAGGAAGACAATTTCTTCCGGGAAATTTTCATGATCCCTCACAACATCCGGAAATTGTGGCACCGAATATTTCACTGGAACCGCCATTTACAAACAAGAAATAGGATTGTTTTATTATGATTTAGTATTTATTTTTGTAAAATGTAAATAATTATTATGACACGAAGTTATCGAGCACCGAGTCTGGAAATACTGAGAGTATTATTTCATACTCTTCTGAATCTCTCATATCTTACCAAATATATTCTTTTATACTCTTGTTTTTTTTTCAATGTACAAATGTAGAATGTATTTTTGTAAATAATCACTTCAGGAATGCAGTCAATAAATCTGTGATTAATGATTTTTTTTCATTTCATTTTACAACTTTTGGTATTGATTTATTACTAATTCTAGTCAATATTTTTTATCAAGGTTGATTTTTACTAAAACTGATATTTCTGTTATTTAAAACATTTGCAAATGCCACTTATGTCCAGCTGATTGATCAAACGAATTTGGTAATCTAATATACAACACGTGTGCGCTAATGAACTATTCTGAATCGTTAAATGAAAAATGTGATCTTTTGTATAATATATTTCTTTTATTTTTTTAACTGAAACAACATTTGCTAATAATGCTAATGTTTTAAAACATTTCCGTTATCTCCCGCTTTCCTCTTTTAGTCCCATTTACACAATTATCCATTCATTAGATCTGCAGCATTTCCAAGAGTCACCATTACGTGCAACCATTTTTCCTACTTACCCTTTCACTTTTTGTGAAATATTTCGCACCTATAATACAGTTTTAGCAATTTTTCTCAATAACATTGCGCTATTATGACCACACCTTCCAAGAATCCCACTGCGACAATTGTATAAAATTAACATTTCAGATTAAAATCTCCATTAAACAAAAAGTGAAAGCAAATGAAAATTTGGATGAATGAAATTGATAATTTTTTTAATAACTGTTAAATTATCTCATCTTTGTTATAATTGGCACGTCATTTATCCAACGGATGTTGCATATTACATAGCCATTTAGCTGCACAATTTTGCCATTACGAAATAGTTGTATTGACATATACGCATGAAGAAAGAGGATCATGTTCACGCATAACGATAATTACACTTTTATGACGCTTTTTGTTTCAATTTGAGTAATGTCTTGTGACCTTAAGACCGGCCATAACTAATCCAAAATTTAATAAGCAAGAGATATAGCGCAATCTCATTTTGTAAGCGCTGTTTCACGCATAACTTGAATAAATTGTCCTTATAACAATATTTAGAATAAATAACAGTCAGTGACGAAACTATTTACAGAAACAACGAAGTGTTACATTTTTTTCTACAATTTCGTAAAGACTTCCTGGCCAAACCTCCGCAGACGGTTTTGAAACTCGTCAGAGAAACAATTAGTCGATAACTAACCAGTTACACTACATTATACAGGATAACCTAGACAGAATCGACCGTATTTTACGTAAAATTGACTGGAGACAAAGATTTATCAAAGAAATCGACCAAAATTTGAAAATATAAAATAAATTTGACTAAAAAACATTGCACTCTTAGAGGTCCTAGATACCCGGAAAAGTGCATAAAACATTGTTTGGTCGAACTTAAAAAAAACACGAAGTTTTGGGTGTGAAATTATCATTATCATTCAACTTATTTAGGCTGCAAAAACGTTTGAAATATGTTTTTTTTTCTCCAGCCAGATTAAAATACGTTATATTTAATGTCATTTTTGTAAGATAAAATTGACGTTTTTATAACTAGGAAAGATTTTTTTAGTATGGCGATTCTCACTTTTAATCCTATCCTTAAAAATCCTAATAAAACAATATACAATGTTTTTTTCTAATTTTGCGCATGTTAATGTTGGCTGGAGAAAACATAGCATATTTTATTCGGCTTAAAAGTGACACTTTTAATCCTAGTGAAACAATATACATACTAATATCTTAGTAAAATCAGGCAACAGGTGACCGGATTCGACGAGCAGTTTTCGAAAAATAAATAGAGCTATTTCGAGTATTTCCAGATGCTCACCTTGAGTTATACCTGTGTGTACAATTTTTTGGGTGTCCGGAAATCACCCGGAACGGCCCAGAATCGATGATATCTTATGTAAAATTTTCCAAGGAATTCTCTTACGCAAACCTTTTTTACCTAGGACCGTTAGTTTTCGGGTTATAATTTTCTTATTTGACGCGTCTCTAACTGAAAGTTTACTCTAGGGGTTTTTACTACTCCATAAATAACACACGCCTGGGATTATTAAATTTTGACTTGTTGAAAAACACTACAATCGCAAATCTCAGTTTACGTTTTTTATTTTTCCCGTAAAACTTACAATTTTTGGGAAAAAAGCGTTAAAACATACATTGCTCAACAGGTTTGAGTGGTGGGGATGTTAAAATCAATTTTTCAGTACTCTGAAAACCTAGAGTGGGCTGAAGTCGACGGTAACTTATTACAAAACTCTTTAAATTGACTTGTATTAAGTTTTATTCATTACTTGCCACTTTGTACTATTTACAAATTATTTTGATTGTAATTTTATTTATATACAGGATGAATATAAAGTATGGAACCAAGCGGTTTTATTTTTAATCATTTGCCTCCAGAAAATAATAATTAATATAAATTAAAGTAATATAAAAAATGTGATCGTATTTTCAGAACGAAATTTTGTTTTGTTTTTGAGTTATGCAATTTTTCTTTGTCAAAATTGCAATTTATGTAAAAAAATTAAATATAAAGCAGATAGTTGTAATCCTTACAGTATAGCTTTTATGAAAAAAATGATTTTATAGAGGGTTGCCATTTAAAAAAATAAAAATTTTTGTAGAACTCAAAAAAAGGAAAGTTCGAAAAAATTTATTCTTCTTAAATCATCACATTTTTATAGTACTTTATCAGTCACCAATTAGTTTTATCAATAAATAAATAGTTTAAGCAAAAAACGTTTGGTTCCATACTTTTTATTCACCTGGTATGTATTTTTTCGAGGTATTTTGGGGGTGGTTAAAAGTTAAAAACAAAAATTTAATATAAAATTAATTTAATCTGTCATCGATTATACAATATGTACAATACAAATACTTTTTAAATTATTAAAAAATAATCCCTGGGGGTCTTAGTGCAAGTATCCTCCGTGTCCGTATCCTCCGTAGGCCAAACCGCTGTATCCCAAACCACTGTATCCCAAACCGTGTCCAAGCCCAACACTGCTGTATCCCAAACCGTGTCCAAGTCCAACACTGCTGTATCCCAAACCGTGTCCAAGTCCAACACTGCTGTATCCCAAACCATGTCCAAGTCCTACACCACTGTATCCCAAACCGCTGTATCCCAATCCTCCGTAGCTCAAACCGTGTCCGAGGGCAAGAGGAGCGGCGTAGGACTTAGCGACGATGGGGGCAGAGACGATGGGGGCGGCGTGAGAGATAACAGGGGCGGCGATGGCCTTAGTGACAATGGGGGCGGCATAGGTCTTGGCAATGACAGGGGTGGAGACAATGGACTTGGTGACCACAGGGGCGGCAACTACGGATTTGGTGACAAGAGGGGCGGAGTAATGAGCGACGGGGAGAGAGTGTCCCAAGCTCAAGGGGGCAGAATAGGCAAGGCCGTGATCGGCGTAGCCGAGACCGCCCCCATAACCGTAACCGCCATAACCAAGACCCAGGAGGCCACGTTTCTCCTTTTTCTCTTCGGCGGCGGAGACGACGGCCAAAGCGGCGACGAGACAGACCTGCAAGTGGCGGGTGAGGTGTGAAGGGGTCGGGGGTTGGATACTTACTAAGAATTTCATGGTGTTTTGGGTTTAGGTGACTAAACTGGTAAATGCACAATCGATGTGTGATGCAGAACGAGGCGACGACAAGGCTTTATATAGCTAGGTGGTAGGGTTTTGGTCGGTTTTTTTAATCACGTGTGATGGTGTTAAACTAGATCAAAACATCATGTATGAATCGCGCCATTCAATTCCACCACGGGTGCGAAAAAGAGACCATGAGGATCAATGTGATTGTTGTTTTTATGTAATTACTTACTTATTGTAAGATTTTGTGAGTAAAATTCGTGAAGGGCAGCGAGGAATTGACCCACTTGGATGACGAAATCGGACTGAATCGGTTTAGGAAATTGCATAAAAAGATTGAAGGTTCGATGGGGCAATTCCCGATATTAATTTCCTGCCCCTGGACCGTGCAAGAAAAAGGTAACTTGGCCCATTACGACCGACCTGTGACATAATACATTGGCCAATTAATCGAGCACAATGAATCTTAATTTTTGGGATCGAAATGTTACCTCATTATAAATTAATAAACGAGGTATAACATGTCTCTTTATCACATTATGAAAGTGATACCTGTTATATAAAAAGGAAATTATTACATTGTAGCAATTTTCAGCATAAGACTTGTAACTGGTTACCATTTTCCAGCTTGGAACACAGTCAAGTTTTCCAGTCTTGAACTTGGCGCAATTTTAATGAAATCTTTGGAAAATTAATGGCCCATGTCAGTGTGGTGGTTACTAAATTGCCTTCAGGCAAACCTTACAAATGTATCAACATGAAGATCATGTGTTATAAGTAAATTAACATTAAACTATGTCATAACATTTTAAAGATGATCCTAATCAAATACCTACGTGTGAAAGAAGTGACAAAATAAATTTCAGTTATGTTATGACTAAGGACGATCGTTATATTTTACATAATAAACAAGGTGTTGTAAGTAGAATATTTTAACAATCATTTATTTACATTTTTGGCAATAAAAGTTGTGTTTTTCAACTTTCTAATTGGGGCACCACCTATATTTTTCACCATAATTATATTTCAATTTATTTATGCTGTTGGTACAGTATAAGGAAAAAACAGAAAGATAATTTTAAACAGTGTAACCGAAGGTTGATACATTCTTAAATTACCACTTTCAAATTGAAGGCAACTTTTTGGAAATAATATAATGTGTTCATTATTGCATAGCAGTCGCGTTAACACAAATAAAAAATTTACGATCCCATTTCTAAATTGCAGTTCAATTAATTACATGAAATAAAATTGAGCTAATTTTATAAAAGTCAGAGATCTGACCACAGTTATTAAAGAAACTTAGTTGCAAGGTCGGAAAAGGTCCATAATTACACAATTCTTAAAAATTAAACTGTCAGAGCAGTGCAAGTGTAATGTTGTAATATTATAGAAATATTTATTCGTTTACATAAAAAACCGATTAAATCTGATAATGGTATCGAAACGATTCACTTTTCGAATCAATAATTACTCAACTCAGATTTATTAAATTATGATTAATGTTAGGATGGCAAAAGTAATTCACCTGTCATTTAATAAATTAATTTGGCTTTAAGACTTACGAGTTATTTCCGCCGCCTGATTACCAATCAGTTGGCTAATAAATAAAATCAGCCTTTCCGTTTTAATGTGGAAATAAAGGCCACCACATTTTTTATGATCCGACATCAGTAAATAGAAATGTGAGACTTCAATACGTAATAATTATAAAATTAAATTGTTCCAGGTGTGAATGTTACATAAACGAGAAAAAGAATCCCAATAAATGGGACCTCACATTTGCATAATTTTCGCTGCAATATTTCTTTACAGACATGTAATTAAAAATTTTTTCACATCGTAAAATTAAACTTCCTGATAGCTCTGTGATTTTTCGTAAAAGTGTATCGCGCGCGCTTTGTCGACCTTTAAATATGAATCGTAATTTCTTGTAAATAATGCGAGCACTCTAGTGGTGTAATTAGTTTGATATTGAATTATACATAATTAGCAAATCATTGACACAGTTTTCAGACAATTCGCATCCACTTAAGTTATTAATGAATCAGTGGCTCCTACCGCAGACCACATCGTAGGTGACGCAGTCCAATAAAGGGTCATTTTTTGCAAACATTTGGCAACCGGAGCAAGATTACAAAACATTTGCTCAACTTCCAGACCTTTCTCTAATTTTTTTGAATATTTAATTTTGATAAACGTGTAAAACACTGCGATACACATTATATCATCTAACATTTTTATAATAACATCAATTATGATATTTTATGACGTGTCTATATAGTTCGAGGCTAGTTGTGTAAAAAAATCATTTGCAATTCGAATCAGGGACAAGATGTTCGGCGGAAGCGCGCCTTGAACTCCTAATCTTTCAGAATTTCTAAATTTCAGGCTAAATTATTTCCGATATAACTATTTCTAATTCATTAATTATTTTATAATGGTGGTCGTATGGATTTTATAGCCGGGGGCTCCCCATTCATGCTTCAAATTAAGCAAATGAGGTGTGGTCAACCGGAAAGGATTTTAATTATTACAACAAGCAATTTGTTGCGAAAGCGATGAGACATGTAAACCTAGCGTTTAGAAATGTCAACCTGAAATTCTGAGCGTTTTTCAGTTTTCGTGTAATTCGGTGTGAAGCCGCAACATTGCAGACGATGTGTCAATAAAAACTGAAACGGTGGTGAACTTGATAGAAAGCCGTCAAAACGGCGTGAAGATTAATGATCGAACTGATTTGCATTATTATATAAAAGAGTGGCTTTTCTGGAGCGCCCCAACCTTGCACCCAATAATTAGATTTTTATTGCGGCGGTGAATGTGGTCGGCTTAGGTTGATTTTTTTCGACTTTTCTTCTAATTATTATAATAGTTGAGCTACCGTTTGGTCGTGATTCATTACATTCAGGTGCACGCTGTGGAGTAATACAACGTAAGAGAGGTGTGGCTATGATGTTAGAACAGATTAGATAGCGAAAGTAATAAATGAATAAAAAAATGATGATCTAGATTGTGCGGATTTGTTCCCGGAGACAAAACTATTATACGGTCGTATTTCATTATCGCGATTAATGCTTGTGTAATAACAATTGATTCGTTTATTCAATAGAGCGGAATTTTCGTTGCTCTTAAATGGCACAGTATATCAGATTTCAGGATTAGGTGGTACGAAGGTGTGGTGCTATGTCATCTATTAAGTCTTTCATAATTTCTGTTTACTTTTAGCTTGATTCATATATTAAAATGTTACTTGAGGACAGCGGCGGTTATTGACAAGAGCAACATGTAATTGCCGATTTATAACACTAATTTGAATGTAAATAAACAAACTGAATTATATTAAAAGTGACTAAAATTTGGTAATCACTAATCACTTTTTGCAATCTATTTTTTGTAAACTTATCAATTATTTCTAAAGAGAAGTTCTCAATATAATAATTTTTCAATTGCAAACAAAAATAGTTTTTTCATTTTTTTGAAAAAATTGTTTTGTGTAAATAAATGTTTTTTCCTACGACCCTAACAGAAAGTAAGTTTTTGCACCCTTTCCAGAAAGGAAAGTGCCAACTACATCAATGAGAGGTAAAAATTTAGCCTTACCCATATAAAAACATGCTGCTAGATTTAATGAGAAAACTGGGATTTCAAGAGAAATTGATAGTTTTGAAGTTTTTCTTGCTGGATCGTAGACAAAATTTTTGAAGTGCCAGGCAGAAACTCCACCTGTGGGAGGAAAATATACACTTTCCTCTTTATTTATAATACAAATAACTATTAATCCCATTAATCCCAAACATATAAAAATCGCTCGTGTGTTTTTTGGATTAAATATAATAAGGTAATGAGCGCCTTATTAATCATTGATTAACAAGTTTCCAAACATAAATTAAAAATAAACAAACAAAAACTATCTAAATTGCATGTCAATTTTTTGCACTTCTGTTTTTCTTTATTAAAAAGACAACTATGAATAATGAAAGTGTTCATTTGAATTTTATTCATATATTTTTTAGTTTTTTTTAATGCTATAACAGATAATAAGCGTTATTTTTGGGACATTTTGAAAAACTACAAATTGGGCTTCAATAATATTGTAAAGCTCTTAGTTGTGTATAACAATTTTTAAAATTGTTATGGATTTTGTGGCTAGAAAACTTTAGAACTAAATTTTTGTCTCTATTTTATAATAAAAGTGTTTTTATATGTATAAGAAGTCTAGAGTTGTCATAGTTATATCAAAAACATTTTTAATTTTGTTACCTATATACAATGTGTCTCAAAAATAAGTACATTATTATTAATTTTAACTAATAACAATAATATTATAATAATATAATAATAATAATAATAATAATAATAATATAATAATGAACTTAAAGCTTGAAGTTAACAGCTGTTTTTCCCAGCAAAATTTGTGATCAATTTTATAAATGAAATTAAAAATACGATGGGTATTAATTATTTAAATAATCAGTAATTAAATAATTAAAATTATTTATTTTGCGGGTGTTTTTGTTTAGTGGCTTTATTGGCGAGTGTGCGATGCTCGACCACATTTTATAGGAAAACGATTGATAATTTTAACTTAATAAAGACTGCGTTTTCAAAAAAATGGTAGGTACATAAAAAATATTGCATTTGACGAGTTCTGCACGTGGTTAAAATTAATGTATTTATTTCTGTGACAGGATGTATAGTGTTTATTATTTTTGCCTGCCTAAAAATATGTAAAACTATAATTTACGCAATAATAAAGATTGAGAAAATGGATCTACAAACAATAATGTGATTTAGTTCGCTTATAAAGAGTAATAAATCAATTCAATCTTGCTAAATTGTGCCACTTTTTTGTCACCTGTCTTGCATAATTTTGCATGCAAATTTATAATTTAATTAGTCAATTTAGTTTTACAATTTATCGATTTATAAAAAATGCAAGGTAAATTACCTACCTATCAAATTGTAACATTCTGTCATAAAACATTAAACTCTTACTCGAACGATTGAATTTTAACAAAATTATAGTCTTATAAAAACTTTTGGTAAATCACCTTTCCTTGCCAGCTTGTATTTTATAATTTTGTGGTCTTGTGGTTTCAGTCTGTAGTTGTTTTTTTATTCAACAATTTAGGAGATTTGCTATGCAAACAATTATTTTTGTAGTTTCTCATTCGAATAAAACCGAATTACAAAATTATAATGATTAATAATATAATTAAAAATTTAGTTAGTAACTCTTCTACTCGGTAACAAACAACAAAGTGAAAACGGTAGTTAATTCGTTCTTATACGTGTGACAATTGCATGTTCTTTCTACCTTAAAAAACCGAAACACGTTTTTAAGTTGAATTTCTAAAACTGCAATAAATCATAGTTATTTGCAACAATTACATTTCGATATGTAAGAGGAAGAATATGTAAGAAGTAAATATTATACACTTATTGAAGATGTCGCAGTACTTAATAAGTGTTCAATAAATTGTATAAAAGGCAATATGTGATAATGTTTTGTTAAGTTTTTTATCGGCTTTTGACAAGTGTGAAAGAATGAGGATCATAGTGAGTAAAACAGTTTAAAAGTTGCATTTTTGGCAGTGCTTTTTCCAGGTTTTGTTAATTTTGATTGGTTTAATGAGGAATGAAGCAACTTTTCATAAAAAATTCAAGAAGAAATTTTATCCTCTTCCATATATTCACGATGAAGGATTTCAGTTTGAGCATCATACGCCGTTCCACAGTTTCGACTTCTTTGGCCACTACCCTTTCGGTGGTTTTGGTGGTTTCGGTGGTCATGAATTTTGGTAAAATAAGTTTTTTAAATAAATTGTTAAATTAACTCGTATTTTATTTTCTTTGTGGTGTAAAATAAAGAGAAAGTGAATTATTAGAGAATTCAATTACGATATTTACCACTTCATCCGGCTTCTCAGGAAATACCGATCAATTTTTCTCAATACCAGTTGCATTATTTGAAATGATTATTCACCTACCTTGTCCTTTAGCATCTCATTTCTCAAGTACTGTTGGAGTAAAACGATGCATGTTGAAAGATTATGATCCGTCTCCTGCAAACAGTGCTTAGAATATATTTTAATACTTCACGGGTAATAATACTTTTAGTTTTTCCAACAACACACAGAGCTTCTCTTCAATTGTAGCCATTCTTGTTAACTGTCGCGTGTCATCCTGTTATCGATTATTTCATAAATTAGATTCATAAGCTCAACATGCAATCTCAAAACTTTTTAGTCACGGAATACGAAATCTGCCATCAAAGGATTATTGAACCCGCGCTGATTAAATGGCGAAAAAAAATGCAATTATTGCTACAAATCAAACTGAAGTTGGGTTTTACAACACGATGACATAATCGATAATTGGCCAATCAATTCAATATTTTCGCACTGTTATATTGTTTCAGCTTGTGTCGACCATTACTCAAACGCGGGAGTAATGTTTGAAATTCTTTTTTAACTTATAAACATTTAAGATTTACACACAAATACATATTATAGATTTTTTTATTTAAAAAAGCAAAAATATTTCTGATTAGTTTGTTGTGTAAGCAGTAACCTGCTATAACAAATTAAATTGTATAAAAAATGAATGTTTTATTAACAAACCTTAAAATACATAAAAAACTATAAATTTCCATACACCCAGTTAAAATATAAATAAAATAATTACAATTAAGGGCACCAAATCGTCTTCTGGACTAGAAAGTGATGTTTATGTAGTGATATTTGGAACTTCTTAAAGCGATAATTAAAATAGAGTGATTGACTTAAATAAATGCTGCTTACCACGTTATAAATAATAAGTTTTACTTAAAGTGCATTTTTTGACTATTCACTCAGGTATGTCTTACTAAAAATGTTACAAAAATAACCGAGAATTAATTCTCTATATATAAAAGTTACATTAAAAATATCTCATGCGGCAAGTAACATTAATTAGGTTAAAATTAAGTCATATAAATAATGCTTATCTACAAATCAAATAAATATAAAAAAAATTTATCACATGCTTTTACGTAAAGAAAACCCGTTAACACAAATGCTTTTCTGTCTAGAGTAGATATACAAATAATTACCTAACCCAAGTTTTCAACTTTAGAGTAATAAACAAACAACATTTTGATTCTATGTATTATTTTGTACGTCTCGTATATTAGCTAAAATTCATAAAAAATATATTTAAATATAATTTAACACTTGCATAAAATTTACTAAAATGCGTAATGTATCAACAACTTCAAGTTTTAACAATTTTAAAGTTTTGCAAAAATATTATTGATATTTGCAAAAATCGAAAATTTTGATATCTTTTTTTGAGTATTTTTAGAGTTAAAATTAGTGGGGCAATCTTTCAAACTTGAATTTAAAGCCCATTATTTAAAATATCCAATTTGAAAAGTTATATTTTTTTTAGTTGAAAAATGTCTAGTGTAAATTCACTTTTACTGTCATTTAATAAGCTAACACGGCAAGGAACTTGTTACTTTTTCTGAGTATTTAATCCAACTTTGACATAGAAATGTTAAGTATTTAAAGCCCTAGCAGTTATCAAAGGCAAGTCAAAAAGGCCTAAATCGGGAGACTGAATTATCTCCTTGGTCCAAAATTTATGTACAAGTAATAAAAAATATCGGCATGTGCTAAGAGTTTTCAATGTGTTCCCCCCTTGAGGTGTTTGCTATATCTGAGTGGAAGCCTCCGTTGGCGTCGTAATAAATTGTCTGACTTGACAGGACCGAGTCGCGATTTTTTCCTAAAAAAACAACATTAAATAACGTCAAATCACATTAATTTAAACATGCTTTTTCTATGTTTTGTTTGGGCCCTATCCGTCTCATGCTTAATAATGGTTTCATTAGTTTTGTAAGCTTCTCTCTTAATTTGATCATTCAACTTCCTTGGAATGTCTGGAATGGTCCATTCGACTGCAGTCACAACAAAAGTGACCAAATTTTGATACGCCACCACGAAAGCCAACCTCGCCGCCAAAATATGCCAATAAATCAATGGCCGTTTATACTTGATACCGTTGGTGACATTCGGGGGGTTTCTATATTCGGCGTAGCGACAAATCGACACGTTCATTGACGGGTTTTCGGGCGCGACCCCGTCCTCAAAATCGGCAGTGTCAAAATAGGCCAATGTGCTGTTAAGAAACCCATCTTCGGTGTGGTCAGGATTCACTTCCATCATATACACGAGTTTTGGGATAAAATGCGAGGAAAAAGCGATGATGAAGGCGTTCGAAACCACCGAAATTCGGCCGAGAATGCCCATTATAGGGAACCAAATGCCGATGTTGGAGACTCGTTGAGGCACCGGTCGCCGGAAATACTTGATGAATTTTTTCGCATCGAGCCGCATTTCGAGGATGTTGTTGATGAGGGCGAACAGGGGGGCCAAGGGGAAGGCGGTTACGAAAATTGTAACAAAACCGTATTGCAAAACTGCAATCAAATTTTGATAAAGTGATGTACCGTAATAAATCGGGGTTACTTTGAGATAGTTTGAGAGGTTTTGTTAATGTAACCTTTTTATTAAAAATTTGCCTCAATGTAATAGTAAATAGAAAATTTGGTGTCAAAGAAACCCCGACTTCGGGGCTATTTTGACAGTCCCTTTAATTACGTTGGGGGGGTACTTTGACACCTTAGAACTAAAAATATGTAATATATGATTGAAATAAACTTTATTAAACTTATTAAACACAAAACCTAAAATATACAGGGTGTCTCAGCGAGTTGAAAAAGTCCATTAGTGATCTTTAAATGGTAAAATTTTAAAAAATTATATAGGACATTGATAGATGCTAACCTAGACCATCGCCTAAAATTATTTTCAACTATACAGCGTGTTTCAAAAATAAGTTACGATATAAATTAATGTGTTAAATGAAACACCATATGTTTCTTAGCGTTTTTGGATGTAGATTTTTTATGACAATGTTTTTAAGCTAAACTTTTATTGGTCGATTTTGCTTAGTTTTAAAAATAAGACGGTTTTTTTGACAGAAACATGCAGAAAAAATACCGGGTGAATAAAAAGTATGGAACCAAGCGTTTTTTTCGTAAACTAAGCACTTTACGAAAAAAATAATTAGTGTAGCGTAAAGTACAATTAAAATGTGACCATTTATCAAGAATAACATTTTTCGAAATTTCTTTTAGTTTTCGAGTTCTGGAAAAAATTTGTTTTTTTTTTAAATGGCAATCCATCACGGTAATTTTTTTAATTAAAGATTATGATCTAAAAATGACCTCTAATTAAATAAAATTAAAAAATTTGTTTTTTTTTAAATGGCAATCCATCACGGTAATTTTTTTAATTAAAGATTATGATCTAAAAATGACCTCTAATTAAATAAAATTAGAGGTCATTTTTAGATCATAATCTTTAATTAAAAAAATTACCGTGATGGATTGCCATTTAAAAAAAAAACAAATTTTAATTAAATAAAATTAGAGGTCATTTTTAGATCATAATCTTTAATTAAAAAAATTACCGTGATGGATTGCCATTTAAAAAAAAAATTAATTTTATTTAATTAGAGGTCATTTTTAGATCATAATCTTTAATTAAAAAAATTACCGTGATGGATTGCCATTTAAAAAAAAAACAAATTTTAATTAAATAAAATTAGAGGTCATTTTTAGATCATAATCTTTAATTAAAAAAATTACCATGGTGGGTTGCCATTTAAAAAAAATTTTTTTTTGCAGAACTCGAAAACTAAAAGAAATTTCGAAAAGTGTTATTCTTGATAAATGGTCACATTTTAATTGTATTTTACGCTACACTAATTATTTTTTTCGTAAAGTGCTTAGTTTACGAGAAAAACGCTTGGTTCCATGCTTTTTATTCACCTGGTATATTACACAAAAACTAAGACATCTAAAAATATTTTTTATTACCTCAAAAAAGAAGGTACAAGCTATAAAATTGTAACATTTTTTTAGTGTGTTGCATTTGCAAAGATAAAAAATGAAGGCGTTTGTTAAAAGTTCAATAACTTAAAAAACTTAAATGGAACACCCTATTTATTTTTTTGCATTTAAAATATTATTAAATTGTCTTTCTAAAATTATTTACTTTTAGGTGTTTATAATCAATAATAAAAAGATATTTAACGTTAAACATTAAAAAAAATTACTATTGTTTCAGTAGCCAAAAAGTGCACAGTTGCACAAGAGATGAAAGAAATATCACTAATAATCACACTTGTGTTAAACTGAATCCATTATTCTTTATTTTTACAATAAAATAATTCGAATCTCAGTATTTATAACGGCTTTTACAATCTCTAGATAAATCAACGGATAAGTGATCCGTGGTGGAATTACTATGGCTCAGATATTGATAGGCATTGTTGCTTCAATTAATATTGAATGTTGTTAAATAATGTTTTCATTTATCAATTCATGACATTAAAAGTTTATTTTTTTAGATAGACAATTTATCAATCTACTAGATGCAAAAATAAAAAAATAGGGCGTTCCATTTGATTTTTTTTAAGTTATTTAACTTTTAACAAACTTCTTAATTTATTAATCTTTACAAATGCAAAACACTAAAAAATTGTTACAGCTTTAGATTCTGTACTTTCTTCTTTGCAGAAGTAAGAAAAAATTTGTTCTAGCTGTCTTAGTTTTTGTGTAATAAATTTTTAAAAAGTGCATGTTTTTCTCAAAAACGGCTTATTTCTAAAACTAAGCGAAATCGACTAATAAAAGTATACCGTAAAAACATTGTTTTAAAAGGCGACATCCAAAAATGCCAAGAAACATACGGTGTTTCATTAAAAGAAAACACAACTTTGTATCGTAACTTATTTTTGGGACATCTTGTATGGTTGAAAATAATTTTAGGTGATGCACTAGATTAGTATCTATCAATGTCCTATACATTTTTTTTTAAATTTTACCATTTAAAGGTCACTAATGGACTTTTTCAACTCGCTGGCACATCTGTATATTTTCTTTAAAAAAAGTAATTTTTTGGTATGTTATGGCTTTTACGAGTATATGGCATAAAAATAACATAAACATAATTTCGGTAGGTTCCTATACTGAAAATGAAACAAAATTAGTAGCCCCATAACGTGTCAAAGTAACCCCATTTTATGGTAATTATAAAGATTCTCATACTAACCCATTTCCAAGTACTCCGAAAACAGACTTTGCGATTGGAGGTCTAATAACTTGTAGTCTTCGGTCCACTGGTTGCAGCTGATTATTCCTATTTGGTCAGGGGGTGCTTCCTGTATTCCCATTGAAACTTTTACCGAATTGTACATTTTTTTTAGTAAAGGCACAACCATTTCGGCAACTGCGTTAATGGCCTGTTTACCGATCATAATAATGGCTAGTTGTATAGTAAGCTCCATTAAACACCCTCCAGGGTTACACTCTTCTTGTCTGAACCCAAAAATCCTATTATACTTAGCCGGATATCCGACGAATTGGCCTTTCAAAAACGCGATGTAAAAAATCGAAGAATAGTAATTAACAAATTGGAACATATAAATTTTCAGTGCTAAACTATCATCATATTCGGTTTGTGTCCTTTGCAGTTCCATTTCGGTCAACCAAACGGCCAATCGTTCATACAAAATATTCAAAATTAGAATACACACTAAATTAATAATTGCTGCAGTGATTGGTAGAATATAAATCCGGTAAGTAACTTTATCTTCATATAAAACTTCCGACGTTATCAATGACATCCGATAAATAACAACACCGAAAACCACAAAAACCGCGATAAAGACCCACAAAAGTGCAAGTGTAAAACTTAGAATAATCGACGGTAATTTGACTTTCCAAAAAGACACAGCCGGTTCGTTCAAATTTGTGATTACGTTTAATTTTCGCTTTTTCGCGTCGGCTAAACGGATTAAATATTCGGGTCGGGGCGGTTCGGCCTTCAAATCGAACCCCGTGAGGCCCCATCGGTGGGTGATCCCAGCGCTGTAGCGTTTCCACAACTCCAAATACAAAATCGACCAAAAAGACATGAAAACGGCGAAGAAAATCGTAGCAGGGTTGTCGATAAAGTGCTGGATTTTGGCGTAGAGACAACCCTCGTTCAGTTTCCAGTAATCGCAAACTCTGTCACATCGGGGGCACATAATAATGTCCGAATTGCACAAGTCTTTGCATAAAGTGTCTTGTGGTAAAGTCGTAGCGGCGTAGACTAGACAGAGGATTCCCACGATTGATGCCGGGATTAACATGTGGGTGTAGAAGCCGAGCCATGCGAAATACAAAGCGAATTTTATTCCGAAATATTCTTTCACGTCGTCGAGGGGTTGGTATTTGACGCATTTGCTCACTTGGGCCCAGTGTTTCAGGAGTTTGACGCGTTTGGAGTTTTTCTCATGCAGATCGCCCTGAAAAAAACAATTTTAAGACTCATTTTTTTCTGATGTAACACTTACATCATGTAGCGGATATGCAGCCTTGTAAATGCCCTCTGAGATCAGTCTATGAACTCCTTTTTCTTGGTCCTCAATTCCGAATTTTTCGCGTTCTAAAATGTATGAAGCTACAGTGATCCGAACCGCTTCATTGAAAAAATCAGGATCATCCACATCGAATCTACAATTTACATTTATTTTATTTTATCATATTGCGAAATATCCGACTTACAAGTAGTTTTTTTCTCTGTTAAATTCAGCCGTCAATCTGTATTTCTTCGGCGGAAATATTTCAGGGTCTAATCTCACTCTCAAGCAGTCCAAAAGCTTATTTAATGTCGAATAAAACACGTTTCCGATTTCTGGTAAATTTTCGTCCTTTGTTTTTCAAGATAAACATTTGTTTCTTTTATTAATTAATCACTTACGTATCTAATAGGTAGTCTTAACTTTAAAATTTCCGCATATTGGCACAGAACCTCCCTCGGCACGTGAATTTTTACAAAATGAATGCGCTGACTTTCCTCCTTTTCTAAAATAAGACCTACATTTTGTAAATTTGCCTCAAAATGTTCTCGTTTTGCGATATCTTCAGGTTTGCCTTCTTTGTCGTAAGCCAAGACGAAATCGACGCATAATTCGCCATTTGTGAAGTAACGCCAGCGCTAAAAATATTAAAAATAAACAAACCGAATAAACTGTCACAAATTTGATTGAAAATAGAGCAAACGCTAGTTCAATTTTATTACCTCTGCCATTTTCAACTACATGCGATTTAACACCACCCACGTCTCCGGAATGAATTTTTTGATAACATATGTAGTAGCTGATAAACCACGTATTAAGTGTATACAAGTTGAAATTAATTTATAATAAGTACAATGTTTATATTAAAATTTATGACAATCTGTTGGTGCTACGATAAAAATCTAACATTTTTGTGATACCTTATCATTTTGATTGTTTGAATGAATATTCTGTATTAATATGGATAAATATAATACTCAATATTTCATGCATATGTTTTTACTTTTTGTTATTATCCATTAAAAGCTTATTTATGTAATTGTAATTGTTAAAACAATTACACAAAACAATTAGTACGCAAAGCGGTATACATCAAGTTCAAATTATAAATAATAAAGGCAGGAATTTATTTTTAATGCAAGTTAAAAAGCAGTGTAAAAGTAAAAGAAGTTGCCAATTGTGTGATAAAATATAATCATGCACTGTCATAATATTTTGGATTTTTTATATTTTGGTGACAAACCAGTGCTGCTGTTTGATTTATTCTTCTTTATTCGGCATTTTCATCGCATTCGATTGCATAGATGAAAGTACTTTTATTTTAGTTGGTGACTTCATACAAAAGATAGCTAACCTTGTACAACTTTTAGATAAAGCCGGTTCATAGTTTCTGAATATTATCAAAGTCCCAAACCCCAGGCAGTGTGGAAATAAGGTAATAGTATTATCACATGCATCAGATTAAGATGGGTGCTTTAAAAATCGGTTAAAAAAATTGACAATACCCTATCTCTCCACTGCTTGTACGTCTTAACATCTCTATTTCTAGACACCTTATTTTGTGAATTTCCGTCTTCCGGATGGTCCAATCGGGTCAATTCCATATTTTCTAAATCAACTGCTGACTGATACACTGTGTTTCTTGATAAGCTGAGGTAATCTTTATTATCAAATCTTCTCTTACTCACTCCCGAGCCAACTGAGATTGTATCGAAAAAATCATCATCGTCATCCATAACGAATTATCTCTATCTAAAAATAACAAGTGTAAATAAAAATTTCGTTGTACCATCAGATAATTTATGATTGGATGAGAAAATCGATCTTAATATTGTGTTTTTAAAATGGGTCTCAATCCTACTTTAGTGATGACGTATAATAAATAACACGAACAGGATGATACAAATTACAGAATTATGAGAAAACAAAACCATTGAATTGTCTACACGTCTACACCTACAACTACACTTAGTGTGACAAAGCGAAAGCAATCGACAAAAAGTTAACAATAAACCTGGGTTATTTTATTAAACCGCACTCATTAACATTTTAAATACCTCCAAAATTACGAATTTCGCCAACTACTCGTAAAATCGAATATTTTTACCATTACGAACCCGAGTATGAACCCAGTACCAAAAAAACGGTTCTCCAACATCGCCCACATTCGCGGAATTTCCACAAAAATTATAAGGTTGATTCATATAAAATGACAATTCCATTAACTTCATTTTCGTAAGATTTTAATATTTTGAAATCAATTATTATAGACTCGTTATCTTAAAAAAGCAACCTATGTAAGCAAGTGTAATGTGTTGATGTGAATGATCTTTTAAATACCATAAAATAAAGCACCATTATTTGTTAAAAGTCGTTTGTTTATTTATAAAAGGAAAAACTTATGTTTTTTAAAATAATTTATTGTGTCCGATGCAAGTACATAATGCACTAAAATATTTGAGGAGCAGACTTTCAAAAAGAATTTTGTCTAAATTTGTTCTTTTTTTAAGAAATAATTTTATTTTTTTTTATCAGTGGCAATAAATGTGAAAAAATATGTACAGATTGGACACAATTTATGGACAGTAATTTTACAGCTGGAGTACTTAAAAACCTTTATCTCAATTCATAAAAACATGGACAAACTGCATTTTGAAAGTCTGCTCCTCATTTATTCTATTCTAATATTTATTGGATATTACATGAAATAAAGATTAAATAAAACAAAATAATTTAGTACATACAGGTGTCTAGAAAATAGTTAAAAGATTTTGGGAGGTGATTCGTTATTAGGTCGATATATAAAAATGTCCGGAAATGCTTCCTGCTGAAGTTTCTAGAGTGATAATAACTCGACTTTCACTCACTGCGTGGGTTGCTTTTCGGAATTAAGGACGATGCACAATTTAAAAAAAAAACTTTTTCTCAAAAACAGTGCATGATGCAAAAATAACACAAAAGTCATTGAAAAGATAATCAACAAATCACAATACAAAAAAAATTAAAAAAAAACCTTTTCAAAACATAATTTTTCGCTTTAATTAGAGTCTAAATAAGATACACAATTTTTAATAACGCCAAAAATTATTCCGAATGCAAAATTTTGTAAATTTGTCTCAAATGGTTATTGAAAAAAAACCCTTTATGCTCGCCATTTTCAGAGGGCTTTAGCTCTCTTAAGAAACATTTCCGGATATAGGTCCATGGGACTTTTTTTCTTATAATGATCTAAGAAACCGCCTCCGAATCCTTTTAACGATTTTTTCAGACATATACTGTCATCTATTTTAATAATTGAATAATTTTAAGAAAATACCTATCTAAATCTGAAGATCTCAATACAAAAGATTAATTTTTTTCATCAATAATAATCGCGTGGGTTCTTGAAATATTTTAATTGCGACACCTTCTAGACAAATTTAAAAAATGTAAAATGACATTTTATTTGCTATTTTTGAATATTTGCTTACGTATTAATAAATTACTTACAATTTAAAAAAATTCAATTCATTTAATATTCAAATGGTTATACAGGGTGAATTTAAAATGCATGCCTCCCCGTGAGATTATAAATGCCATGTAAAGTTAAAAAGCACAAAAGATGAGTACGCCAATGGTATCCACGTTAAGAAAAATCGTAAAATCAAAATTTATTTATCTTATTTATTTATTTATTAGCAGATTACTATAATTATTATAGTTGCTTCCTTTGATACGTTCGGCTATTGTTTACTTAATTTTGTGTCTGCGTTTTTGCGGTTAGTCATGTTTCGATTTATTAAGACATTCAAAAGCATCTTGTTTATAAGAGAAGAAATGAGTTAAATGTTTATACACATTTTCGGTTTATTAATAAAAGACAATTTCTATCATTATGTACATACCCAGATTTGTTTAATTAGTTAATTAGGTACGTAAAAATTTAGTGTACTACTTCATTTTAACGGTTATAAATTATCATGTATTGAATTTATTTATTGACTGATAAAATCCATTCAACTAATGTAATATAACATACAATAAACATCCTTTGAATTTTAATGTTGTAAAACAATTGATATTTAATTAACAACAAAAAATTTGTATAAACAAGAGAATCAACATATTTTCCACTAATGTTGAATTAACTGTTTTACGGTGATTGATTTAAATTTTAAATGATAAATTAATAGAATTAAAAGTAGATCACTTAATTTATGTCACGGTTTCGTACGGTTTTCAAATAAATTAATAATTTAAAATAAATTACTGTTTATTAAAACTTAACATAAACAGTTTATTAGTTGCAAGTATTAATAAGCAAGATAAAAAAAATTGCAACTTCCATCTTAGAAAAGTTGTACGACATTTTTACCGTGTTCATGGTAACAACCATTACTACCATGTTATGGGAGCCCCAATAATACGCACCTGATTACTGTTTCTATTTATGGTAAACAAACATTATGATCGATCCACATATTTTTAAAACATTGGTAAAAATAGAACTTTATTTTCAAAACTGTAGTAAGTTGTTGAAAATGATAAAAAACAGTTTTTATACACGAAATTTATAAGTTGATATTTTTAAATATTTACCAAAGAACTCCCACAACAATACTATAGTCAAAATAACAACACACCGACAATTTGAACAACCAAACACGAATTGGGTATTGTGTACCTCTCCCCTTTTGTTGGTAATGTAATTAATGCTAATATTGCTAATTTAACTGCCCTAGTCAAATCTGACTTGGCGACCTTTTTTTTAAATAATACCTTTAGGTCATCATTTAATTGATAACCCAAATAGGAAGATTACTTGCAATTAAACCTAATTAAAGCGGATACGTGAATTAATTTAATTAAAAAAAGGCTTAAAAACTAAATAAGCCACATAAAACTTTTTTTATCATTTTTTTTTAATGTTAAATGATGGACTTTTATCAAATAATGATATAATTATTTCGCGGGTCAAGGCAATGAAGAGAATTAGCCAAAGTAAAAAATGCCTGTACCATTTTCCCATTGGTGCAATGTGCTAAAATATGCGGCTCATGCATGGTTGTAATGTTACGTGCTATCGCAGTGATCACTACATGTTATCATATCACTTATCACAGAGCACCTGATAACAACACTCGCTCCTTACCTAACCAAACTTTACTAAAAACAACTATCTTGTTGAACTGTGCGCATCTGTTTTCTAAATTGCGCAAGTCGGCGGTTTTGACACGTAATAGGTTTCTTATTTTGCCGAAGGCTTAACATACACATTGAAATAATACGAAATAATGTTTTAAATAATGTATTTCATATAATACATAACATAGAAAAATAATTACAACTGTATAACAAGATGTAATACGAATAGGTTTTAAGACATGTATCAAATACTAATGGAATATGCTACAGCTCACTAAAAAACTAATTACACATAAATAATTTCGTTTGACAAAAATTAATCCTACACCTAGATTTTAGTATTTTTTGAGTTATAATAAAGACAAGAAACATTAATATTGACCATCTTTCTAAATTGTGGCACGATTAAGCTTTTGGTATGACAAGGAATGTTGCCTGAAACAATGCATATTGTGCAGGCAAACGTTCATTTTAAATTTTTAAGCTAAATACCATGCTCAAGAACTGCTCGTAGTGGATTGTGATGACACCATCTTGGTCTGTATCATGTTGTCTGAACGCTGCAGTTAAAGTCTAAAAAAAATATTCATTAATCTTAATTACAAGAATTCGCTAAATCTTACATATAAAATAATACACAATTGGATGAAATCATCAAACAATATAGTGCCATTTCCATGTCTATCGAATTTCCTGACCAATGTACTGACAAGCCCGTCTGAAAGACGGTACCCAAAAGTGGTCAATGCTGTTTTCAACTCATTTCTATCAATATTGCCAGAGTTGTCTCTGTCAAATGAACGGAAACAGTTTTGCCAATCTGTTACATATTTCCACAAAGCGCCGAAATCTTCGAAACTGACTTGGCCCCTATTACCCCTATCAAACATCCCTGAAGACAAATTACTACTATTCCCACTTGTTGCATATTTTATATTACCTATCATCAGTCTTACTGTCTCCGGGTTAAATGGGCTCCATGTCCCATTTGAAAGGGCAGCTTGAAGTTCTTCCGCGTTGATGTACCCACTTCTATCACGATCCACTCTAAAATTTAATTTAAAATTTACTTTCAAGGTAAAACGCGTTAAATCACTAACCTCTGGAAAACGTCCCATAGGAACTCACGACTGGGCATTGGGGATGCGAAATGGCTCATTCTGTTTATTATTTCTTTAGACACCTAACTTGTGACGTGAAAAACTTTTTGATAAGCTGATAAGAGGTTATGAATCTGGAGAAAATTCTATCAAATGAAGCTAACTTCACTGGATAGCTTTTATTTGATTGGTTCCCAAATGACGCAATTCTGACGTCACAACTGCTGCTAACTTCAAAACAATTCGCTGAAAAGCCCCGGATTTTTTTCGATTTTCTTGCAATATCTGGTGTAATTGTGCATTTTTATTAAAAGAGAGCCTTCTAAAATTAAATAAAAAAATGCATTCATTGTAGTGGATACTTAAAATGAATTAGAGACAAACTTTATTTATTTTTGTTTAAAGTCCCTAATATTTAAATTTGTATTCTTGTAGTTTATTTCTGCACAAAATGGTTGCTATTTACTTTTATTTAATTCCCTACAACATTGTAAAATGTCAGAACCTTAAATGTTCTATTGTAAAATATTTTAAAAAAATACTTTTTTTCTGTTTTCAAACCTGTCCTTGCAGATTAATCACGAAATTTGCGTTCGCCACCAGTAACCAAGAAGGTCATTGAGCGCTGACGAACATGAGCTTGCACCACGTTACTCTACTACGTCATAAATGATTCAACTTGTGTTGTTTTTTAATCGATTTTTATTACTCATATAAATAGAACACATTTAATACTTATTAAATACAAGGAAACTATTTAACTTTATTCAATAAAAACCAATAAACCGCAAACAAAAAGCTCGGGGGGCTTGGAATTTTGTCTTGTGCGACATACTTTTTAACTTCAGGAACGGTCATCTCAACAACGTCGATTATTTCGTCCCCAACGCCGCCCCCTTGTGACACTCTCATATCATCGGTGACTTCACAATAATACGTTGTTTGTAAACTCCCCAAAGTACCAACACCTGATCTGTAAGACCCGACTTTGATCAAACTAGTTAAAGGGACGTCGTAGCCGCATTCTTCTAAAATTTCCTCTTTTGCGATTTCTACCAAAGGTTTGTCTTTGTCGACGAGACCGGCACACATTTCCAGCGTTATGCCTAACTCAGCCGGGTATTTATTAACGTCAATTGAGCCTTTGCGGTCTTCTTCAGGAATGCTTCCAAAGTACACTGGAGGACGGAATTGTTTGACGAAAATTAGAGTCTCTTTCCTGGGGTTGTGCAGTAATATTGCGACACTGTCATGCACTTCCAAAAGGTCCCAAGTGCGTTTTAGGCCGTTTTGTGTAAAATGCATAGTGTGGGGCTTCAAGTAGATTGATTTCTCGAGCGGTTTTAGGACCACGTCGCTGATTTTATTCATCTTTGGTTAGGTGATAACTAAATTAACTCGGTCACTGGGTTTAATTATTCCAATAGTCACTGTTTAAATAGAAGATAAAAACAAGCACGTCACAAAAGCGAGTTTAATTTAAAAATTAAAAATGTTCCTGGATTTTGATTTTTTGACGTCTGTCACGAGTCACGTTGACGCTTGAGGGAAAACAGCAGAGACCCAAAATCCCTAGCGTTGTGTTGTGGTTTGTGGTAATTTTCGTGTTGTATTTTAATTTTCATTTAAAATTACGCATTTTGCAAGTCGCCTCTTAACAAATCAATTATTAGTGGAGGTGTTATTTTTTAATTCTGTTTATAACTCTTTATAAAACCCCCACTCTTGTCGAAATGGTAATTTTCATGTTGAAAGGTTGGTAGAAGGAAGAACGTTAAAATTGGGTGTTTGTTGTGCTTGTTTATTCGTTCCTTCGTGACTTAAATTATAAACAAATTAACAGTTAACAATGGCACCAGTGGACGTCGAAGCACCTCCGGTAAGTCTTTTGTTTAATTTTCAGATATTTTCCTTAATTTCACTAAAAACGGTTACACCCTTCTTCGTATTAATCATGGGTTTTTAGTACCCATAGTCATAAGGGGATGTAAATTGGGTTTTTCAAGGGCGTTGCCTTTTAATTTTTCACTATTTTTAGATGGATAATCAGCTGCGGAATTTAATTTTATCAGGGCATGTGGGTTTTGATAGTTTACCAGACCAACTGGTATCGAAAAGTGTCCAAAACGGCTTTGTTTTCAACATCATGTGTATTGGTATGTGGGCAATAATTTGAAATATGCATTGTTAACCTTATTTGGTAGGTGAAACTGGGTTAGGCAAGTCAACTTTAATGGATTCGTTGTTTAATACGAACTTTGAGGCAGTTCCAAGCCCCCATACTTTGCCCACAGTCAAACTAAAGGCACACACTTATGAATTGCAAGAAAGTAACGTGAGACTCAAGTTGACAATTGTGGACACTGTGGGGTATGGAGATCAGATCAATAAGGAAGACAGTTTTAAGGCAATTGTTGACTACATTGACGCCCAATTTGAAAACTATCTTCAAGAAGAGCTCAAAATCAAACGCTCTCTTACAACGTTTCATGATTCGCGTATCCACGTTTGTTTATATTTTATTTGTCCCACAGGACACGGCCTGAAATCCATTGATTTGGTTTGCATGAAAAAACTTGATCAAAAAGTCAACATTATTCCGATTATAGCAAAAGCTGACACTATTTCCAAGACAGAGCTTCAGAAATTCAAGACCAAAATCGTCGCAGAACTCCAAAATAACGGCGTTCACATTTACGAATTCCCAGTTGATGATGAAACAGTTGCTGAAGTAAATAGTACCATGAATTCTCATGTACCATTTGCTGTGATTGGCAGCACTGATTTTGTCCGTGTTGGTAATAAAATGGTGAGGGCCCGGCAATACCCCTGGGGGACAGTCCAAGTCGAGAATGAGTCTCATTGCGATTTTGTGAAATTACGCGAAATGTTGATCAGGACGAACATGGAAGATATGAGAGAAAAAACTCACTGTCGTCATTATGAACTTTACAGACGAAAACGTTTGGAACAGATGGGTTTCAGTGATGTTGATGCTGATAATAAACCAATCAGCTTCCAGCAAACTTTCGAGGCTAAGAGGTCCAATCATTTGCAAGAATTGCAACAAAAAGAGGATGAAATGAGACAAATGTTTGTAGTGCGCGTCAAGGAAAAGGAAGCCGAGTTGAAGGAAGCGGAAAAAGAGGTAAAAAGAAATGTTACAGTGACAAATGCTTCAATTCTTGTTTCAGTTACATGCGAAATTTGATAAACTGAAAAAGGATCACACTGATGAGAAGAAGAAAATTGAAGATAGTCGTAAGAAGCTCGAGGATGAGATTGTGGAGTTTAACAGACGCAAAGCCCAGTACCAACAAATGGGCACAAGTCACCATACTCTAACCTTGGGAAAAAGTAAAAAGAAATAGGCTTGTTGGATGGATTTTAAAATGTTTATTGATTACGCAATTTTATCTATATTTATTATTTTAAATTAGTGATTTCTGTGCTTGTTCTGTGTAGTTGAAAAGTATATTTATTATGGAAATTCATTACAACTATAGACCAAAGTATTTTTAAAGTAATACAGCGAATTTGTGTCAATGTAAGCGTCGCGATTTTGTGTATTGCGTTTTCTTTTTATATTTTTTATGACTAAAATATAGTTTTTTATTCTATTTCGTTTCTTATACTGCAGTCTCCCCAGGACGCACTAATTTTGCAAATCTGGAATAGTATGTAAATTTCTTGGAGAAATTTGGTACTTTCTGGATACGTTGACGAGGGAAATAACGGGGCTTTATCTCCTTTTCATTTTCCTGGAATGTAAGGTCAGTCAAGGCAACTAGAGAAATGCAGTGTTTTAATAAGTAGAAAAATATATACAAAATAAAATAAAATACAACGCTACTGTAAAAAATCTTATTAGTATTCGTTCATAACTACTAATTAGTGTATACAATTACACTACAAACTTAACGAAATGAAATAAACATTTGAACTTCTTGGTGTGAAAATGATAGCAAATATCCACTAAAATGAGTTTATTAGTGTGCTTAACGCGTGACTGATTCACGTGGCGGTGGACTGCGATATTTGGCCCGAATGTGTAAAAATTTGGAAGCACTAGCAGGCCGTTCTGGACTATCTCTGGTTACGATTTTCACCTGGCATGGGTCATGACGTAACAGGAAGTGGTCCAGTGTGTCCCATCCTCCTCCCACACGTACCATCATGTGTCGCCCTTTCAACAACTAAACCACAACTCACTCAACTTTCATTAAAAAAAGAAGACAAAACTTACTCTGATAAACACACTCTTGCCCGCGATATTATACTTCCCTTCGCCGACTTTTCTCACGTTCAACCTCGAACACTTCCCGTTCGCACAATTGCAATTTCTTTGCATCAGCCTCGCCGCTAATTGTACTTTCCTGTCGAGTTCCGTCGTGGCGTCTCCAGCGCCAGTATCAATCTCCAAGTCGGGGTCTTCGCCGCTGCCTCTCGACCACTCGTCTTCGGTGTTGTCGCTGGGGACGCCGTCGCTGGCACCACTCAGCGATATTTTCTCTGGTTTGGGGCGCTCGGGGAGGAGCACCATGCGGGGCCCCGTGTCCCACCGGTCGTAAGCAGCGGCTGATATGGCATTTGCCGACTGGCTATGACGCATTTTGAGATCGGACGGTTCGGAGGCTTGGAATTGCCATGAAAGAAGAGAACTTAAGGCCGAATCGGTCGAATTGTTCTGTTCTTCTTCGGCGATTTCTTTCTCGAGTTGGATGAGACCGGGCGGCTCGACGCCGAAACGGGTGGCAAGGCGGGCCACTTCGAGGAGGCACAGGATCACGTTCCGGGGATGGTTGTGAAGGACTAAGCAAAATAATTAATTTCGACAATAATTTTATACATACATACAGGGTGTTTCACGTAATTTTACGAGGCCTGCGCCTGTAAGATGCAATCAATAATACATATTCCGATACGAACTCTATTACAAATTTTGAAAAATTGGATAATCTTCTCTAATTTGTTCACCCTTTCAAAAATTACAACGTTTTTAGTTAATTAGTGATTAAGATGGATAAACTACAATCATATTCATGCCGTCTCTTGATAGAACAAATGATAATTGTTTCTGAAAAAGTGCAGTTTATGACTATTAATGAAACAGTGATAAGTTTGACAACTACTGTCATGGGTTTCCAAAAATTAAATAATTAAATGTGTATTTGTTGTATCTACTGATTTGTGAATTTTGTACCTTTGGGTGCGTATATTAGGCGCAAGCCTCGTAAAGTTATGTGGAACACTCTGTATACCTATACAGTATGTCCTCGGAATGAGTTTACAAGAGGAAACAAATTTTTATCTTTGATTTTACGCCAAAACTGCAAAGGAAAAAAAGTTTTTGCTGTAAGTACTTGAAACCAGCAAATCTGTAATTAAAATTTCATTATTCTAACTCAGTAGAAAAAAAAGTTCATTTTTCTTTTGATTTTAGACTTAGAATAATTTTTCTCTGCTTTTTAAAGTCCTATCACATTGGCGGTTTTATTATTTTGACAATGATGTTACTTTGACAAATGAGTTTACACAAGTTAAATAACAAAAATGTTTGTGAAAAACATATTTTTAATAAACAGCAACTCAAAGAAACAGCTTTAAGGTAAAAACCAGTCATTTTTAACAAGAACTATCATTATTTAATTAATAAATTATTTGTCAAAGTGACATATAGTTGTCAAATAATTAAAACCGCCAATGTGATAAGACTTAAAAAGCAGAGAAAAATTATTCTATAGTGTGTTTTTTTTGAACGAAGTAAGTGGCATCAGCATCGGCCGACCCATTTACACAATAGAATTTTTAGAATTGTGTAAAATTGATTGCCTATTGTAGAGGGGTAATTTTAAAAACGAAGAAAATTTCCAATGTTATTTGTTTTTTAGCATTTTATTATAAATTAGTGTCTACAAATTCAATTAAGAACAAGAACAACATTTGATGAATCTTTCCTTTTCCTTGGTGGCGATTTCACTGCATGAGTTTCTTCCATTTCCTTAATGGTGTGTCAAACCAATGTCTTACCAATTCCCGCTACTTCAGACACCCTTTTTACCATTTCAGTTTTGGTGAGCGCTTCATTCTGCTCTCTAAATTTCACGTAGATATTATGTATCATTATTTTCTGACCACTACTAACTGGCTTTCCCCTGGAATTTTTTTTACAACAGAACCAAGTTGTTGCTCTGTTATTATACTACACCAAAATGCTGAAGTCCTGCACCAACAAACGACACTTAACTTAAAGAATTATGACATATTTCAAAAATAATGTCAAAGATTAGAGATTTTTAAAAATTATTTGGTAATTATAGTTCAATGTAAATAAGGCTTGTCACGTGGTGCAAAATAGAGCAACCTGATTTGTCAATTTTAGTCCCTATCTCCCGCAACGCTTCGTTCTTTAAAAAAAAATAAAGTCCAAAATCAAGAGAAAAATGAACTTTTCTTTCTACTGAGTTAGAATAATAAACTTTTCATAACAGATTTGCTGGTTTGAAGTAAAGCAAAAACTTTTTTTCCTTTGCAGTTTTGGCGTAAAATCAAAGATAATTTTTTTCCCAAGTCCAAAATCAAAATTCACTGAATCAGAATATTAAGTACAGATTTGTTCGTTTCATGTGAAGCAAAAAATGTTTTTCCATCGCAGTTTGGCCTAAAATCAAAGATAAAAAAAATTTTCCTCTTGTAAACTCAATCCGGGACATAATGTAGATCGATTTTATATTGAGATCGGATAAAGCACAAGGGGTAATGCCATTACCACCGAGGTTTGTATGCTATTTTATTCACAATCACATTATTTTTAATCAAAAATTTGAATAAAATAAAATTATAACAAATTTAATTCAGAACAAACATTTCAGAAATGTCAAAAAACATCGAAATGATGTGTGAATCTGATATTAAAATTGTTGAAATGGAGTAGTGCGCTCTCCCAGAAGTAAGAAAAACTGCTACAGAAGCAATTGAATACTAATTTAGCAAAATATTATGCGTAACTTGACAATTTGAAAGAAAAAATTCCCGGTATTTTTGTAATCTTAACTTTGGCAATCCTGCATATTACCGGCCAAGAGAAGTAATGTTATTACTCCTCATGAGATATAATGACACGTTTCCCAACATTTAAAAAGTTAGTAATCAGCAAGTAATAAAATAAATAATTACTTACCTAGATCGTCACTTTCAAAGAGCAAGTTTTCGTGTACCCCCAGTGACCGGCAAAACTTAATGAAATTTTCCATGTTGTCCCGCGAGAAAAAACTTCGACGCATCGCTTTCTCGAAACATTTTCCCCTCACTGTCGGTAGAGGCTACGGAGCGAAATAATTCGTAACTAATCCAATTAATAAGTTTCATTGAATTACTTACGCCTTTAGCATGACCTGTATCAATAGCGTACTTGGCCTTATCGCAAATCACTTGTGCTAAATGACATAATACTACTCCGTTGTCTAGATCGCTTAGGAAGTTGTTTCTGTTAACATTGACATCTGGAACAAAAAGAAATGTTAAATCATTCAGCACCCATAATGCAATTTTTCTGCTTTGATAACGATTTCATTAATCAAGCGTGGTTCCCACCAACTAATCAATTTTGACTGTTTTTCAAAAGTGGTTTGATAATGTGCGAAGAAGCGTTTTTGTTAAGAATGAAAGTGAATAAGTGATTGGTCCAAAAGCGTATCGCAGTTCTAACAATTAAACAAAACCATTAGAGTTTTCGGGGTCGAATTCATGTAACTGCAATTTTATAGAACTTAAATTTCAGTTTTGGATTTCTTCAAATACCATTTGCTATGAACTAGATAGTAACCAGTATGCCTTTTATAGCACTTGGAAACATTTGTTTATTAAGCACACCAGTGTTAAAAATCTCGTTTCGTCTAGAATTTCACCTTTGATCTTTGTTGATCTTTCGCTCGTTATGATCTCCCGTGGCTGCTGTAAAATCGACAATAATTGATCGATTATCTTCCCGTTTTGGGATAATTATCGTCAAAAAGAGCACAAGTGGCTACTTAAACAAGTCCGTGTAAATAAGTTGAAACACTTGTATTTTTTTTTTGCTCGAGTGGATTCCGTTTGATGTTTCGCGGCGGATCCCACCCACGAACTGGTATTATTGTCTGTGCACATCAGAAAAGCCTTGTCACATGCAAATTTCGCCATAAATTTCCAACAAAAAGTGTTATTAAAGACACTTCAACAATGCGATAACGATCCCACGTTCAGTTTTCTCAGCTTTCCATCAATTTGTCATGGCGTTTCAATAGATATACCACCCACAATATCAATATTATTACTTATTACTGGTACTCTTATCCTGGGAACTGCCACACGAGATTGATTTGTGCGATTAAATTGAGCGATTCTGCTCCAGGCTGGCGGATTTGTTCCGGTTGTTTTTCCGTTTGTGTTACCGGAATATTAGCACTTTCTATGAATAGACTACCGCGCAATTACCAAGTGATCCATCTTGTGTAATAGTATGTAGATAATGGTTTCTCCTAAGCTGGAGGCGCAGCCGTTTTCATTACCGCCATTGCCGGAAAACGTGATTTCTTATTTTTTTAACACCGTAAAATACGCGATACATGAACCGTTCAAC